ATATTTATGTTACGGGCCGTCTCCACGGCAGCGTTAAAAAATCTTGAAACGCTTCTGCCCATTCACTTTGAATGGGGTGACGTCACTTTTTTTCGCTTTCGCCGAAATGCATTGTGGGCAGGCGAGCGGAGATTCTCAGGATTTTCAAGATCCAAAGTTGAACAATGTTCAACTTTGAAGCTGAGGAGGAAGCGTCAGCCAATCAAATCCCGTGTACGCAAATCTGACAGTTCAAGCTCTAGCCAATCAACTCCTGAACAACAACAAAAAGCCTGCGTTTTATCCAGTTTGTACACAATGATGGAGAAACTTAACAAGCAGCAGTGGTCCACTGAAGAGACCAGCTACATACTGGGAATCTGGTCTTCCGAAGAGGTACAGAGGAAGCTGGAGCACAATCGGCCATTGTTGTTGTTGTCGGTGTGAGCTGTGAGGGGTTTCTGCACGGTTTGGCTTTATGAAGCAGGCACGCAAACGGTTACCTCATGACGCAAACGATGACGCAATGACGCAGCACCAGTCGGACTCTGGGCGGTGTGAAAAGAGCCGGAGCTAAACCGAAGAACCGGTTCTGAACCTGAAAAGCTCTAGCACGGAGCTTGAACCGGAGTTGCGTTGGTGTGAATGAGGTATAAGACTCTCAAATGCATTAACCTGTTAAGCCCCAAGCCTGTTTTTCAGGCCTCAGGCTCGAAAATGACATTCCCAGAACAAATTACCATATCTTCACTTCTAAAAGGGGTAAATGAATAATCTTTTTTCTCAAAGCAATGATAAACCTGTGAGTTGGATGTAAAAAAGTCAGAATCAATATAGAATTGTTTTATTTTAAAGTAAATTCAGATTGAACATAGTAAAACATTTTAAATTATAGTGTCCGTCCAAAAAGAACACATTACTTATAGTGAAAACCACCCTTGAATGATGGGATAGTAGACTAAAAGCTTTAAGAATCCAAACTATAACATATAATAAGTACCCTGTATCAAGATTGATGCAAAACAAGTGACATTTGAACTTTTTAGAGAGGTTTAGCAAAATAAATCCCACCTTTGGGTGGATTTGGGTGGATTTGCCGTTTCTCTGGAACCCATTGGTCGATTTTGGTGATTGACACCTCTTTTGAACTGTTAGAGCCAATAGAATCGAAGGGGAGGTTCCACATACACACGTTACCATTGAGGAGTGAGAGTGACCCGCACGCAGTCACGAGCTATGTTATGCTCTGAAAACTGAAAACTGAAACCTAGGCTCAAACTAGTAAATATGAAGATGGATTATCAGTAATCATTTAAAAGTGACACAGACACATTGGATTAACCATTGGATTAACCTTCAGCAGCGTTTTTATCGTTTTAATGCCATTGAACACAACTTTTGATCAGAACAACAGTAAAGGTAAGAATATCTCTGTGTTTGCTCCGTAAAGCTACGTTGTGTGATGTCTGAGTTTGCTTCCCCTGTCGCGAGTTCTGGTCACTCAGTGATGATACTTATATTTCTGGAATCTGTGGAATCTCAGTTTGCTAATCGATATCTTGTTTGTGCAGATCCGATAAGTAATAAGGGTATTTTACCGAGAGTTCTGTGCTAAGTGCGTTAGCATTTTTTCGCTCAGGGCTAATTCAGAGCCTTTATTATTACCCTTGTGTTTCATTTAGCTAAAAATGGTTCATATTGTCAGTTAGCTGAGTTTCTTTCCGTTAAGTGGATATGACACATTCATAGTTTGTTAAATGTTAAGAGGCCCTCAGACGCTGTTTCTTGCAGGATGTTGCAAGCATGGGGATTAACAGTTAATAGCAGGGAGATAAAAGAGAAAGAGTCTGGGCCTAGACATTTTACGATGAGCATTTCAGTTCATACAAATGCTTCCTTATTTCAGATTAATCACACACAGACTGCGGCATATAAACACTTAATTATTGTTTCTTAAAAGTATAAATGCATAATTGCTTTACTTACCATACATGTAAAATGTATTTACAGGCCTTAATAAATACACCTTCATAGTTAAACAAGCCATGGGTAAATATCTACATTTTTGTAATGTACTGAATTTATGTATTTCCGCGTTTATATGTTAATGAAGTAGATCATCACTATAGCTCACACATCACAAAAATACCTCTGACGCTACCTCACATTTTATTCGAAGGGGACTGTAACCGCTTTCTTGACGCCTTTAGTCTGGCCATTGAAGTTTCTCCTTTGAGAAATCAAACAGAAAAGATACGTTGTCGGCAGGATTCGAACCTGCGCGGGAAGATCCCAATGGATTTCTAGTCCATCGCCTTAACCACTCGGCCACGACAACTTGATACAATATGTCGGTTGGGTAGCAGATTTAAATTGGACGGATAATAATAACCCTAACCCTAATCCTAACAATTCCTTCCAATTCTAACAAGGTCCTAACCAAGTCCTAACAAAGTCCTAACAATTCCTAACACTTTACCGACCCAAGTCCTAACAGGTCCTAACCGACCAATGACAGGGCAGTGTATCGCCACGTGACATTGAAACGGATGGTACCGCCCATTCCATCTCCAACAGTGTTGACAAGGAAATAACAGAAGAAAAAGTGGTATTTTCAAGCAAATTATAATAAACATGTATGAATATCAGCGTTATTGTAAGGGGCACGTCGCTTGCAACGCGGAAGATGTTAGGATTACACGTACTCAAAACGTTCAGTAACGATGTAGTAGCGAACAATGTTGTGTGATAATAAATACAGTGGCTCTGTCCAAGGTGATGCCGTGACGTGATTGGCTATGTCCATTGTGAACTCGCGGCGTGATTGGTTTAGGTCCATCTACAGTGGACAGCGATTATCATGATTGGATTATAGATTGCAGATCGGGCAGCCGGTGCCATACAAATAGTACAATTTGATCCAATGGCCGTCATAAAGTTGGAAGATAAACGTAGTGATAAAACGTTTTACTTCGAGTTGCTGAGTGATATTAAACTGGAAACAATCATGCACAATCACTCTGCTCACATTTAGCTTCTAGAAATATTGCCTGTAGTGAAAAGCTGCTGTTAAAGGGAGCACAGCACCATCTAGTGGCGGTGTTTGGAAACATGTTGCTGATTAACATTCAGTGACGTTTCTCTTTATTTGCGCTCCAAATTAAAACGTTGGTTAAAATAGCGACAACTGAACACAATATGTCGAGGGAGGGCCACGATAAAACATGAATGTATATAGAATGATATCTTAACCAGTTTTGCTGCTCTCATTATTTTTGACGAAGCTATTTCCTGTTGGGTTTGTGGGGTTTTGGAAACTGTGTCAAAACCACATTTTCAATGGATACGAAGAAACAGTGGTGGAGGCGATATGAAGAGCCTTTGCTTGGTTTGCATATTTGTAACAATATAAACAGTAGTAGCTTTCTGCAATTAAAGTGTTATTTAAGTTAAAGTAGTAGTTTTAGAAGTACTCAGTGCAGAAAAAACGTCCTAATATAGTATGTAAACAAATAAATCATAATGTAGTATGTTGAATAAAACCAAATATAATATTAAGATAAGATGTCAAAAAAAGTATGCCAGAAAAATATAGTATAGTATGACAAAACATATCATAAAAAGGTGATAGTAGGTATGTCCAAAAAATCAGAAAAACGACTTAGTATGTCAGAAATATGATAAAGTCCCAGTATTATAAAGTCACAGTATCATAAACATGTATACATATTGTATTTAGAAAATATCATCAAAAAGTCCTATTTTATAAAATCATAGCAAAGTATGTCAAACAAAAGTAAAAGTCATAGTATAGTATGGCAAAAATATGATGAAAAAAGTACAATATGAGTGTTAGAGATGTTTCGATTTGACTTCTGGGTAGCTTGCAATTCCACTGACCTTGAAACACGCAGCCGTCTCGTTCACCATGCTGTGTGGATGCCTCTATGCTGCGCCATGGACATTCATATCCACCCACCATGTGTTTATGATTAAAATGTTAACAATATCACAAGATTCTCTATCATCTCACTCTATCACATACTGTTGATCTCAAAGTGCACAAGTGTGTTGCATTTCACTTTGAAATGGTAATTTATCTTGAATTTATCCTTAATAATTCCTGTGCTTATTTATCGGAGAGCCCTCATTTTTTAATTTGTTCACTTGCACCAATGAATAATACTGGTGAATAATTGTGACCTCAATATTTATCAAAGTCATTTTGATGATCATTTTGGCCATAATCGTGCAAGATAATGTGTATTAAGTGACCTTTACATGCTTTTCCCTCTTTCATAAAGCGAGATTGCAAGGAGACAGCAACTGAAATGGCATGGAAATATTTGGACATTTGAAAAGGTGTGTATATTGTAATACTGTAAATATTGTAATCCTCGCATCCATAACAAAATTAAAAAAAACATAATCTCTAAACAAAAGTAATATTCATCCATGCATTCAAAACATGAGTACTTACAGCCACAGGCCAGGATACAGGGGACCCTGCCACTATAGATTTACAATGGGACCGTTGTGTTATTTGAGTGTACATAAGGTGCCAGCGTACATGAAAAAGGATCAAAATAGAATAATAGAAATACAATTCATAGAGATCCAAACCACATCCCACACGGTTCTGTGTTTATTTAACTTCTATCTATTAACAAAAGTGGCCCCTTGGCTAAGCAAAGTGAGTTTTGAGGTGCCATCGCTTACATGTTTATAGCACACACATCTGTACAGTATTTCATTTTACATTCTGTTTCATCTTTTTCTATTTCACATGTATAGAGTTAACTTATTCCTGCATTTGACATACTTTTATGTGACTAGCACTATTTTAATTCTTAATTTCTTGTCTTAAATATACTGTATGCTCTAATGTACCTGTTAATATGACAATAAAGCTTCTGAACATTGAATTTAGAAAAACAAGAAAAAACATGTTACCAGTAAAATTGCTAATAGCCTCTGTGTTAAAATAATTGTAAAATAAGAACAATGAGCGACACAGCATGTTACATTTCGTGATATAAATTATTTATTTACATTTACAGAAAAAATGACCCCATCAAGACAATGTAGTAATAACTATTGGAAATAGAACCCAAGATACAGAAGCTGGCGTTGCCGCCCAACAGAGAGCTCTATAGTAACATTGTGCCCTCTGTCAAAGGTCTCCTATAACACAAGGTGCAAGGCATCACGTGTAGCCCACCCCCCCACCCCCTACCGGACCGACAACACACACCTCAGTTAAAGCCCGTTACCCTGCTTTGCACTACCCCGCTCTGCCCCCCCCCTCATCTAGAAACGACAGACACCGGCTAGCCCGCCTCTACCAAAAGCTCACACGTCTAATACACATTCACACACTCACGCTCACATTCCTCGATGCCTCCCCCCCCACGACACCTCATGGTTCAGTCCGTTTGAGAAACCCTGGGCGGAAGGTGCAGGAAGACACATCTGCATCTGTGTGTGTGTCGGGGGGGGGGGTTGTCTCATCACTGTCTCTGCAGCACCACCGTCCTCCCCGGGCTTCATTAGAGTTCACATTGGGAGGAGAGGGGAGAGGGGGTGAAGGGGAAGCAGATCCTACAAGGAGAGGGGGGGGGACATCTAACGCCACAGCGCTCCCCGTAAAGCGGAAGGGGGGTGGGCTCTGTCCGGTGTGTGGGGGCTCAGATGAGCCGGGTGGAGGCACGCATGGTGTTCTCCGTACTGAAGTGGACATTGTTCTGCTTCTGCCGGTTGATCCTGTTGGTCCGCGGGCACTTCCTGTGAAGGGGGGGGGGGGGGGGGGGGGGGACAAGGAGAAGCATGTTACAGCTGTACAAGTTCATTCTGAAGCATTCTATTTTATGGACTGAATAAAGCCACTCTACCATTTGACAAAAAAACCTTAACTACTAACGTCTGGCTAATAATTGGGGCTGCATGATTTGGAAAACTGTGATTATGTAATATGCAATTGTAAAGTAACTAAGTAGATTTACTCAAGTACAGTACTTAAGTACCATTTTGAGATACTTGCACTTATATTTGTTGCTACTTTGCTACGTCTACCCTAATACAATTCAGAGGTTTATCGTGTACTTTGACTCCACTACCTTTACCTTTAGTTACTTTACAGATGTGGATGAATGATGTGAAATATAATCAACTCTTAAATCAGACTTTAGTTCCACCTGGAGTAAATTCACAAGCTACCCTGCAGTATACAAAGTCATTCAAACAAATTCTGAGTACTCCTGCCACCTCTGGCTATATGTTTTGCTATATGAGGAAATTATTATATATATATATATATTTTTGGATCAGTTTAGCCTTTATTAGAGATAGATTTGAAAGGGGGATTTAAAGGAGTATCATGGTTTAGGAGAAAAATACCATTATTCAAGGTTCAATACAATACGTATACAGCCAATAGACCAGACCACTCCCATGTGTAAAATCAAGGATCCAACAGAAAAACAGAACTTAAATACATGCAGGACTAATCACAGGACAACACACAGCTGGGGAGGGGGGGAGTGAAGGGAAAACACAAAGGCACCAGGTGAACAGATCAGGTAATCAAACAGGAGGGAAAACACAGGGGGGGAAAGCTCTTCAAAATAAAACAGGGAAACAAAGACAGATTGTGACATTTGAAAATACAACAGTAAAAACACAGATTGAGACACGGGGATGAAAATGCTTCATGTTCCGATTCTAACCTGCGTCCAACTCAGCGGGGACTGACAGTATTCACATTATCATTGAAAAATGTATTGACATCCCATGGTGGGAGTTTTAAGAGGATCTATCCCCAACAAGAATTGTATTACATTTGTAGAATACAGTTTTTTTGCTGGAACTTCTCCGCAGCTTCACAATACTTATTTTAGTATATTTTCACATATTTTGCCTTTGGACGTTGCGCTAGTCCATATTTTTAAATGACTCTGCTGTGTTTAAGGGTATTTATCTATGGATTTGTTCTTTTCTTTCTGTGGATGTGTCTACAGTAGGAAGGATACGATATTGTGGGAACAACATTATATCTCACAGTGAATCTCCTTCCAGCAGACCTTCTCCAACATGTGACAGGATGGTATACACAGGTGGCAAACATAGGATTGACCTTCTTCCACTCCCACATGTTTGACCTTTAAGTGAGCGGTAAGTCTTTATGATCTAACTTAAATGGAAGCACTCTCCGTATGTCTGTCCATAACCATTCATCCACTCCAGCAGATAGTGGGCGTCCTGCTGTAGACCAGAGGGAGTGCAGTTTCAGGGTTGAGCTCTACAAGACATAAGTATTAGTTGTGCCTTACACTCAGTGGAGTGTTTCGAGTGGACTCCTATTAACCGTAACACTGCCAGACAGCATGCTGGGTAATGATGTGACTCGCCCTGCTAGTTCAGAACACAAAGTCAGTCTGTCCAGCAGAGAGGGGACAATAGGCACTCAAATCTACGTCTTTATAAACTGTAAAGCTGCAACAATAGTCATCGCAGAGAATCAGTTTTGATAATTGATTACTAATTGATTACTCTTCAAAGTTGTTTTTCGTGCAAATATCTCAGATAATGTTGGTTCTCTCCTCTTATATAAGGAGATGTGTTGCTTTTATCCGTTATATATAATTTAAAAGTTATTTAACTATATATTTTAGGAATAATTAGCTTCGGTTGTTCCTTTTTCACTAACGACCGCCTTGTTGCACATTATCTCGCTTATATCACGGCCACATACTAAATAAACCGACGACTTGACTTGACTCACAATATTGATTTTAAATGATTTTATTGACTTCAAAATATTTGTATTGCTTCTGCTAAGAAAAAAATGGTCCGTTCCCCCACGACGTTCCAACGACTGGAACTGTGGTGAAAGCAACATAACTTAAAAAGACGGCCTCACTGATTGATGTTTTCTCTAACGGAACGTCTACACAGCAGCGTTAAAAAAATCTTGAAACGCTTCTGCCCATTCACTTTGAATGGGGTGAAGTCACTTTCCCTCACTTTTCGCCGAAATGCATTGTGGGCAGGCGAGCGGAGATTTTGAGGATTTTGAGGATTCAAAGTTGAACAATGTTCAACTTTTGAGGCTGAGGTGGAAGCGTCAGCCAATCAAATCCCGTGTACGCAAATCTGACAGTTCAAGCTCTAGCCAATCAAACGGCGTGTATGCTGGGAGAGACATACCGCAGATCATTTCCTCATATTCCAAAAAATGGAGGAGAAATTAGCGGTAGCGAATCAATCACCCGGTGCTTTATGACCAGACCTACCGGGATATAAACCGGAGGAGTCAGGCATGGAGGGAGGTGGCAGAGACAGTGGTAGGTTTTCGCCTGTTTTGGGGAGTTTATATCCAGTGTACTTCGGGCTTTTTTGCTTCGTATGTCGCGGGCGGGAGATTCATGTGATTGGTTGCTCGCAAAAAATCCTCAAGCTTCAGATACGCCCACCTCCAAGATTTTTTTAACGCTGCTGTGTAGACGTACCGTAACTGTCTGTTGACATTTATTTTCCTTTAACCAGTCATTACATTACATGTTACTTGTTAGACGCTTTTATCCAAAGTGACTTACATACTCAATACTGTGGGCAATCCCCACAGGAGCAATTTGGGGTGAAGTGTCTCAGGGACACAACCACATGCTGACTGCAGTGGGACTCAAACTTGCTATCCTCTGATTCGAAGATCAGCGCACTAACCCACTGCGCCACACGCCTCCCCTTTAAACCATGTTCCTGTTAGTGTTTACTTCCTCTCTGTCTTCTTATGTTGTTCCCTTTAGTGTTTACTTCCTGTCTGTCTTCTTCTCTTGTTCCCTTTAGTGTTTACTTCCTGTCTGTCTTCTTCTCTTGTTCCCTTTAGTGTTTACTTCCTGTCTGTCTTCTTCTGCTGTTCCCTTTAGTGTTTACTTCCTGTCTGTCTTCTTCTGCTGTTCCCTTTAGTGTCTACTTCCTGTCTCTCTTCTTCTGCTGATTTATCTGAAGTCCAGTGCTTTGTCTTGTAACCTCTTTCCTTCCCTTGTACTCTTTTTCTTTTCTTTACAAGGGACCGTTTGGCCATTAATCCAAAGTTCTGTGCTCTCCACAAATATAACAATGAATATTCAAAAAGTATTTCACAATTTTCTAACTAATATTTGTTGTCCACAGCTGACGTTAAATCGACCAGACTTCTTCCTGTGGATTGATATGACTGCACATAGTCCATAAATCCTTCTTAGCAGAGGTGTGTAAGTGTTATTAACAACCTCTTGAATATCCAATTGACCAATGAGAATTGAGTATTCAACTAAGCCGTGTAATAAATAATCAAAACTGCTCCCTATCTCATTTTATCCTTCCTCTTATCGTCAGTTTTGTATAATATATTAATTAATTTGGCTCCACTGTAACAAGTGAGAGGAGTGTCATGTATTTTTTTTACTTTTACAAGGGCTATTTTTATGAATATCGCTGAGCAGGAGGAAACATTAATGGAACAGTGGCTGTATTCAGTGTTCCTCTCTTTTCTTTATCTCCCCTTTAAAACGTCTCTTTCTCATCTTGTCCCTCCCCTTCCTTTGCTCAGAGGAGCAGTTTCGTCTCGGCCAAAAGTCTTTTAAAATCTTTTATTAAAAGTCATAAATTGCTGAGGTCAGCCGGGAGGCAGACAGCCGCAGGCTATATATGTGTGTGTGGGTCTTTACTGTGAATACAAAACAGATAAGAGAGTGCGCTAACCTACACAGATATCAGCATGTATCTGCGCTTGTATGTAGGTGTGTGTGTGTGTGTGTGTGTCTGTGGAATTTGACAGTGCTTTCTCTCTGTGTTGTAAGCAAGGTGACCTTTCATCTGTTTCCTCTGGAGCTCCACATTCCCCCCGTGACTCCCAAATACAGACAACATGGAAAGAACTGCTGCCAGGTTCATTAGTGAGCTGTGTGTGTGTGTGTGTGTGTGTGTGTGTGTGTGTGTGTGAGAGGGCCATGACTCACCTGGTAATGCAGAGCACCACCACGCAGATGATCACCACCTGCAGTGCTCCGATGATGGAGGCGATGAGGACGTAGTGCAGTTTGCCCGAGCCTGGCACCACATAGAGCACGTTGTACTCTTTGATGTCACACTGGGGGCCCCTGAACCCTGAGTGACAGCTGGGAACACACACACACACACACACACACACACACACACACACACACACACACACACACACACACACACACACACACACACACACACACACCACACACACACACACACACACACACACACACACACACACACACCACACACACACACACACACACACACACACACACCACACACACACACACACACACACACACACACACACACACACACACATGCAGAGCCCACAGCACACACACACACTCACACACACAGAGAGAGAAGAAGAGAAAGAGAGGGGAATAGAGTCATTCTTCGCACTGAGAGACAGGTTAATTCTGTCCGTGTTCCTAATGGAGACGTGGGTACCTGTTGGAGAGCTGTTGGGGGGGAACAATGTGTTTGTGTGACAGTGTGGTGACTGTGCTTTTTCTTTGCCGGGACGGTGTAGATGACTGATAAGGTGGCGGTGTTAAAGGGAAGGAGGGAGAGAGTGTATTTTTGAGGTTAACATTCATCATGATTTTCTCTTGGTTTTCGGCCTCTGTCAACACTGAACCTGGAAATATAGTAGTGCGTTCAGAGGTTGCAGGCTAGGTAACTAGGAATGGGAAGATAAAATATACAAAGTTATTGTGATGAATTTCCTTTTTTTTTGTATACTGAATATAAACAGTACATCTATTACTTCATAAAATGTATTGTAATATTACTTCTGTATGTTAGAGTATCATTTGAAGAGTTTTAAGCATATTTGTATTATCGGGATGATAGCGTAGATCGCAAATGTAGCTATACAAACCAGACACACACTTAACACCAGAGATAAGGAAGCTACGGAGATGCCAGCCACTGTGATTGGCTATCTTGGGATGCTACTGTCAGTAAAACACAGGACTGGTATTATGTGGGTACCTCTTGTAATCTGTGATAAGTGCGGAGGTCTGCATCCTTGCAACTTGGTAACACGAATATTACGCAGAGTCTTGACCTCATATAATGTCAGTATATGTTGAGGTTTTATATCTATGAGCATTTCGCGTATAAACAGACTCCAGGTGTCGTCGTGACTGTATTTATCATATGAATTTGTGATCATAAAATAGGGAATAACAATATCTCTGTTCAGGAGGGGGTCACAGTTTGCCATCTTGAATCCAAATTGTAACTGGGCTATATGAACTGCGTCACAGATATGATGTGATGGTCCACAGCGTTGTTGCCTTTGGACCAAAAGAGGATGACGAGGAAAACATTCATATTATTCAGGTATTAGAGAAAAACCACCTGAAAAGCATATAATCGGTGTTGTCCAATTTAGCCAACACACACACACACACACACACAACACACACACACACACACACACACACACACACACACACACACACACACACACACACACACACACACACACACACACACACACACACACACACACACACACACACACACACACACACACACACACACATACACACACACACACACACACAACAAATTGATATGATTCGACATTAAACAAACTAATTATAGTAGATTAACTACATTATTCAAAAGTGTACAGTAATTTACAAAAACGCGGGAATAATAAACGGAGCGCTCTCTCCTTCTCCTGACAGCCCGTCAGTATCATGCAGCTCGCGGATCCAGTAATGAGTGACCCGACAGTAAAAACTAAACATATCTATAACTAGTTTAGGTAGTTTTGAGAGGTAATTAAAATAGCTACGTGTGATTTTCTAACCTGAAGTGTGTTTTGCTCTGCTCGCCGCTGCAGGGGATCATGCAGAGCTGCGTGTCGACTCGTCAGCAGCAGCCGATCTCTCTCTCCTGTCAGATTAGACTTTACTCGCATTTATGTCCATATCGATCAGATCTAGCTAGTTCTAGCTAATGATATGACTAACTGCTTGTTAAAAGACAACCTAAACAATAAGCGTCGCTATGCAACCGGATGAGGCCACAAAGTATAGCGCAGCATTATGCATTTGTTTACATGCCCACCGGAACCCCCGAGGCGATCTACCAACAGATCAACGCACAATCAACCCATACAGGACATCTCTTTCTCCACATTAAGTGTTTAGACATTAGAATTGACAATTTTTGTCTGTCACATACTCTTTTGTCTGTCACATACTATTCTTGTCTGTCACATAAGTGGCGCAACTGGATGCCGGTATTGCGCTCAGGGAAAATTATGTTGACCGGACATTTTGACCGGAGAGATTTAGATTTGCCGGACTTCAGCATATTTACCGGTCATTGTCCGGTAATTACCGGCTAACGGGAACTCTGAAACACACACACACACACACACACACCACACACACACACACACACACATAGAGAGACTAATGGAGATGATTTGTGTCCTCAGAGAGGAGCTAAAATGGTTCCCCTTTTAATCTCTCTTTCTCTCTCCATCTCCTCTCTATCCCCCGTCTTCCTGTCTCCGGGGAGGTTGTTACCCACCAACACGTGCACATCCTCATTTAGCACAGACACACACACACACAGTCTCCTTCACATTCTCTATCCCTTCGACCTAACGCTGGGAAAGATCGACGTTGCAACCTTGTTCTGTTTGTGGTTTGTGCTCCGTTTCGCACTGCACTCTGCTTTCCTTCTCATTAGGACACACAGCCTGTAGACCCTGCAGCCAGCAGGGGGCAGCAGAGACCTTCCACACCCCCTCCCCGCTGAGCACTGCTCTGTATGCATGCACGATGTGTGGCGGTACGAGAGAGGTTAGAGAGAGATAGAGGGAGGGAGAGATACCAGGACCCCCTGGCTGCTACACTATCAGGCTGGAGAAGACATTCAGTGTGTGTGTCTGTGTGTGTGTGTGCGAGTGTGTGTGTGCTGGGTTTTAATACCGCTCCTCATTGTGCCTTTATGTAAATGCTTGTGGATTTTGTGTGAATATGTACGAGCGCTGTCATTTTCAGCTGTGAGACTGCTGTTCTGTAAGTGTGTGTGAAGTGTGTCTGAATTTGTGGCAGTTTCCAGTTTTTTCTATACAAAATATGAACAGTATGTCCTTCAAAGTGATGACATTTTGCTGAACCTTTTTTTCTTTATGAATAGAATAGAATGGGAGGGATGAAACCCCTCTTTAATGGTCACACATGCAGAGCACACAGCACACACAGTGACATTTGGCCTCTGCTTTTAACCCATCCTAGCACCAGGAGTCTAGTACTAGGAGCAGTGGGCAGCTATTGTACAGCGCCCGGGGAGCAATGGGAGTGGGGGGGGAATGGGGTTGTCCGGTGCCTTGCTCAAGGGCACCACGGCAGGACCCAGGAGGTGAACTGGGACCTCTCCAAGTAGCAGTCCACACTCCATATTTAGGTCTGTTCGGGGACTTGAACCGACGACCCTACGGCTCACAGTCCAAGCCCCTCCTGACTGAGCCACTGCCGGTCAGTATTTATCCATTTAACATTTTTTGAGTACTATAATGTGCATGTTTATCTATTTTATGGCCATTGGAAAAACGAATCTAACAGCAAACAACACTGAAAGAGCTACTTGTACAAGATTGATATCATTACTTATGTTGATCACTTGCAAATGATACTGTTTGCTGCTGTAAATAATACTACAATATTTCACCAAAGTCATTGCTGAGATCTGGGAATCTGGGGCAAGAAACAAAGCCTCAGGTTTGCCAAACTTCGAAAACTTCTCTCGACTAAGTTTAGTTCTTGTTTAAGGTGTGTACCTCCATCACAGACTGACTTCCAAGCACACGGTTTCACTGCAGTGAGGGATTTCTACAGACGAGTTATATCTAAACTCTTGGTTTAGCCGAGTTGAAAACTTCTGAAGATCTTTTCCTTCAAAACGTTGCCTTGAAAAAGAGGAATGAATGATTTATTTGGAGCCAAACAGTGTGCCAACAACTGTTGTCTCCTTCAGTGAAGTGTTTTTTGTCATGCACCTGAGTATTTCTGCCAGGATGTGCGCACACTTGGTCCCTTTTTAAAAATCTTTCAAGCTTGTTTGGTGACAAGTTATCGTAGCTAAAATGCTGGCCAAACCAACAGAAGCATCATCCAAGTAGGAATAAAGCCACAATCATTCTTAATGGGGATGGATTAAGTTTAGTACTAGAATTAGGGCTTGGTTTCCGCCAGGGTTTTTTGGCCACTTGGGAACAACGTAACAATCTGTTATCAACGCTTAAAATTGTACAAGATTGTTAGAATTAGTTATGTTGAGAACTTAAGCAAATAAGCCAATTATCTTGTTTTTTAGGCTTGTTTGCTGCTGTTAACAATACTACAACATCTCACAGCTTCTGGGAAGACTCTGATGACACATTCAAGCTGTCAATCACCAATGACGGTGGTGTGTTTACAGCCAAGTTTTATCATTGGCAGATATGACAGTGCAACAAAATGTGGGTCCTCAAGATGAAATCATCATCAAATCAAAATGAAGCTTGTGTAATAAAATCATAATGTGAAGGGAAGGAGGACACACCAACATGATTCATTTGAAGCAGTGCAGAATTCCAGCCAGAACTCATACACTTCCCTTTCTTGGCTCTCTGGCTCGTATTCATTCAAGATAAACAAGCCTGATTACAAATAAACAGGCTCTTACACTAAATGTTAAACTGACTAGCCATCCTACATCTTACATTTTAAGGAAGTAAGAGCAACATGAAATTGGAAGTGAAAAGATAGTCTTCTTGCTCTGTAGGATTTGTTTATAGCCATAGTCAGTCAGAGATACAATGTAAAACCTCTGTAGCCAATAATAACTTGGATGAATATAGTTTAATTGATTATTACATAACATTCCATGCACTGTAGCTTATAATTAGCTATTACAAATAGAGCCTTAATGATGGCTAGCTATTAAAAACCCATTCAACTAATTAAGAACTAGAAGGGCCAAGTCTGTTTCCATAAGTGAAAAATAATGTGTGTATGTGATATGGATCCACTCCCAAAAGGTCCATGGCCCATGCTACACCCCACAAGTTGTATGACAATAAGCCTAACAAGAAGAAATAATAAAAAAAAAACAAAAAAAAAACACCTTGGTGAATTTGCCATCTCAATTCATTATGCTAAAACTGAAGAATATAAAAGAGGATATATAATGCTCCTTTTCAGGTTCATACTTGTATCCTGTGTCTCTACTGTGACACGTCTCCTTGCTTTAATGTTCAAAAAGCTCTTTATTGTTCTCATACTGCCTGTGCTGCAGCACCTCTTTTCACCCTCTGTCTGAAACCAGAGCCCAGTCTGCTCTGATTGGTTAGCTGACCAGCTCTGTTGTGATGAGAAATGTCCCGTCACTTATCTTATCACATACTACGTGTTGGAGTGCAAAGTGTTACGTAGTGATGTCATTATTTGGGATTTTGCCCACCATTTAAATGAACAAAAACCTTTATAACGCACTACAGGAAAGGGGAACCCCAAAGAGCATAATAGGGCCTCTTTAATGTTCTGCTTCTTATTTTTAAAGCAACCAGATTTCACTCCGTTTTCAGCCCTGAAGCGTTGTATTCTTTAAGAAAGCCCCAAAGCTTCATAAGGATGCCCCGCTCGTTAATACAATCCAGTTTTTAATAAAAGGGCAAGTTTCCCCAATACCACGATAGTGATATCATCCATATATTCACTTTGCACCCTCCCTGCATGTGCTTTTTTTCTCTTAAGCATAGTTACATCGTAACATTTACAGCAAAGGGAACGGCACAGAACAAGTCAGAGTAAACTGAGTAGATTCAAATAGGTACAAATTCAAGGGTACAAAGATTAGTAGCAGCATTATCAGAGAGAGTTAGCGTATAAAAGGAGTGAAGTAGCCAGTAATAACATGAATACATTGTAGAAACGTTTAAATTGCCCAGTGATATTTCACAGAACACTGTGTGTGTACCTGCAGGAGGGCTGGGCCACGATGCTGGGGAACTGACACTCGCCGTGCACGCAGTAGTTCTTGAAGTGGTCCGGACAGGCGATGTATCCGATTCCTTTCCTCGGATCCTTTTCATTCACCACTGCACAAACACAAACACACACGGGACACACACCATCCATTAAGACTGAAAGCACATGTGCCCCTGGCTGCCTTTCAACATACATTACTATGCTGCATAAGAAAGGCGGAGGATAAGAGAGGAAGAGATAAATAATAAAGAGGTTGGACAGAAATGAAGTCTTGAGAGCAACAGATAAAAAAAGAATTGAGAATCAGAAGTAATGCAGCTTTGAGTGGCAGCACATGTTATCAAGCATTGCGCCCCCGGGTACACATGCACTCACCTGTGGTGTCGGTCCTCGCGGAGTGTCCGTCTCCGCCTAGGATGTCGCCTGGAAAGGCCAAAAACACATTCAAACGGAACTCAGGGCACTAACAACCTCTCCTGGAGCTGAAACGCCCTCCATTAAGGGTTACAAGTGCAGAGAGTCGAATGTGAATTATTATCTCAACAAAAGGGTTCAATCGGTGAGTGCACCCGTCTAGTTCATGCGTATTTATGTGAACCATTCTCTTCAAAAGTGAGAGGCCATCTCCCCAGAAGCATTAAGGTAGAATGGAGCAGAGCCGGGAAGAAAAGATCAGAAGGAATAATGTTTTTTTTTTGCTCGCCTTATTGCTCGCCTTATTGCCGCATTGAATTCCTCTTTTCACAATGGTTAGACAAAATCTCCCGTTCAACCATTAGCATTTTATAGTGATTGATTATGTTTCTCCCCATAAGTCTGTGAATGTATTGCCTCAAAAGGAGGTAGTATTTCCCAGGATTATGATGCGAATATTTCTTATTATTTATTGACTCAGACGACGATTACAATTTAGGAAACAAAGCAGTGTTTTAGCGAGATCAGAACCTTGAGTATTATATGTATCATGGATGCTCCGATCGCCAATTTTGGGGCCGATCGCCGGAATCAGTATCGGCCGATACCGATCGCCGATCCGATCGAGTGGGCGGGGCCTAAATGGAAGATTTAAACATCACTTTAAATCTTCCATTTAAGTGATGTTTAAAACTCAGTTAATGGGGCTCATTCACTGGAGCTTCCACAAACAACAATCAACTTAATTATTACATTCAAATTATGTATATTATTCAAGTTTACATTCACTTTGGATAATACCACGGGAGAAATGAGCGGAAGCGCTCTCTCTCCCTCTCTCTCCCTCTCTCTCTCCCCCTCTCTCCCCCCTCTCTCTCTCCCCCTCTCTCTCTCCCCCTCTCTCTCCCCCCTCTCTCTCCCCCTCTCTCCCTCTCCTGACAGCCCGTCAGTATCGTCTCATGCAGCTCGCTGATCCAGTAATGTGTGAGGCCGACAGTGAAGAATAAACATATTTATAACTAGTTTAGCTTGTTCCAGAGGTAGATAAAATAGCTATGTGTGTTAGGTCTAACTCTTGTGTGTTTCGCTCCGCTCACCGCTCCGTCACAGCGGGTGGAGCTGCAGGATTTCTGCTTCACACACACGTTGCATACCGCTATTTTACTGTCTTTTTCGGACACCTTAAAATAATGCCAGACCGGTGAAGCCATTTTGGCGAGCTTGTTTTGCCGCGCACAGAGAAAAGTGTCATGTATTTTACGTCATGCGATCGGCCCTCGCGATCGGCATGTTTAGAGAGCACCGATCGATCGGTAGAGAGTGAGTATCAGCAGATCTCGATCGGTGACCGATCGATCGGAGCATCCCTAATATGTATTAAATACTTATTTATATTTAAAAATCAAATATGTGACTAAATTAATTTTAACACTGCTCAGAGGGGAGAGGCTAAACAAGACTACAGCTGCAAAAATGCCTTACTTTGAAAATAAATGTTTTCCTACTTTAATTTTTCTTAGCTCCACACAGCAAATTCATATTTCTTTGTGCTTTCATGTCAATTTGGCGAACATATGATACATTAAATCAGTGGTTCTCAAACTTTTTCTGTCAGGCCCCCCCTTTGGAGAAAAAAAAAAGTCGGACCCCCCCAACACAAGTCAGGCTCAGTGGCGGCGCCAGAGATTTATTTTGGGGGTGCTGTGGGGTAGCTTGACGTTTCATAGAGGGTGCTCAAACATTTAGGGTTTCCCATTAATGTACCGGTCGCTACAGTGGAATGTTCTACTGCAACAATCCCCACGCATATACACAATGTACCCGCGACTGTTACAATGAAGGCTTGATAATCAGCTCACGGCATATAGGTGCAAGCAGGGGTAAAGTGCTATTTTTACAGGTGGTGTGTGGACCTCACATAGGGAAGATTTATTTTTAAATATTGAAGTTAAATGCATCAATCTGGTGCACTTTGAGAGCAACATTAAGAGATCTATGATACCTCTCTCAACACCCATTTGAAACAGAACTGTAAACAGATTTTCTTTTTCTTTATGGATATTTTACAAATCACCCTTTTAAACGTTATTCTTTTTTTACTGTCATATAGTATTTCATACCTGTTTTTCATTTATTCTCTTATTTTTTTATAACTATAATGATCATATAAACGTGTGCCTCGGAAATAATTGTTTACATTAATCGTGACCAAACCGTTTGAGACCCACTGAGATAACTTAGACTAAAGTTAACTATCTAAACACTGAGAGAGTCCTTTAGTTCACTGAGTCTCTCAGTCTGCCAGGAGAGGACTCTCCTCCACTTTGTTGTTGAAAAAACTCCTTATATCCGTTAGCGTAGCTCGCTAGCACCAGAAGCTAACAACAACGATCTCCGGTACCGGTGCGCTCTCTCTCTCTCTCGCTCGCGCACGCACACAAAATGGCTCGTTCCACACACACACAGAGCCGAGCTTTAATGAAACACAGAGACCCACTCGTAATAGTACTGTACTGTATCATATTATTTTCGAATCAATAATTTTTCAAATTAGGATTTTTTTTTTTGTAATCTTTTTAATTTAATTTTTAATAACCATTTTTCCTCCTGGTCTCTCACGCCCCCCCCCCTGTCATGCCTCTGCGCCCCCCACTTTGGGAACCACTGCATTAAATGATCGTGAGGATGATGATTAAAAATCGTCTGAGCCGGGCTGGATTTCCTGATGAAAAAACAAACCGATTGTTTTTTGTAGAATTGTAGTACGCCAACGTGGATTAAACCACATTATTTTGTTAAATAAAAACATGGTGATGTTTTGTAAATGATTACATGCCTCTAATTTAGCACAGAATATGATCCTATCCGTGACATATGGATCTTATTATTCAAATATTTGTATTGAGAAGAAGCATACAAGTGTAAGCAGTAGTATATATTCTTTGGGGTGGAAATCATGCTTCCCTTTTTCCAACATAGAAAACAAACATAACAGCCAGCAAGAAATAATAAGGAAGACAAAACATAGCATGACAGGAATAGCATGATTAATGCCATACCTACTCATAGTGGGAAAGAACATACAAAAAGTATATATCTAATGAAAAAATAAAAAAATAAAATTGTGAAAAACAAAAAACAGAGTGGTGCAGATGAGCCCAGATTACCCCCCCACCCCTCCCTCCCCGAGCAGTGCCACCAAGCCATTAAAAACGATTGTTTGTGAGGTGCATTTCAGCCGACCGTCCCTCTTATAAATGAAACCATTGGACCCCACATCCTTTCGAATTCCCCCAGTCTATCTTTTAGGATATATCGAATTCTTTCTAAATGCAGAGTATCAGTCAATGCCGTAATCCAAGCTTTACAACTGGGCACATCCTTTGATTTCCATAACAGGAGAATACGTTTCTTTGCACACAGGAGGCCATAGGACAGGAGATGAAGTTGTGCATTTTGAAGTGTGTTACAATGTTCAGATGTGCCCAGTATCACTAACACTGGATCTGGTTGTAGTTGGACTTTAAATGCTTTTGAGAAGAAAGAAAATATTGCGACCCAAAAGTTCTGTAGTTTAGGGCATAGCACATAGCTATGAAGTAAGTCTGCCTCTGATTGTTCACATTTATCACAGGTTGGTGACAATTCGGGAAAGATTCTATGGAGTTTTGTGACATATGGATCTTAACAAAGATCCGCTATAGTAATCAGACATAAATCTATCAGCTGTTTATTTCACGAGTTCCAATGTGGCAGCTTTTTAATCACTGCTCCCTCTGGTGGATCCATTGCAGCTGGTTTCATTATAATTTATCAAGGGGGCGTATCAAGTCATGCGGGGGGGTTTTCCTTTCTGCGAGGATCGACTCCGTGCCGATCACGCCCCCACTGCGGTAGGGACGTCCGCAATTAGGTGCTAGGTAACACGAGGTCTAATTTTACCCAGGTTTTAATCCCTTGGTGTCTTGGCATTTGTTTCTGTCCCCAGTGTCCCTTATTGAACTAGAATGTGTGGAGTGGATCGATGGGGGTGGTCCGACCCACAGGGTGTGAGGTGGGGGAATACAGATTTCTATTTGTGTTCCAGACCTGGTTAGCCCTGATTGCTTTACTCCCCATTACCTCTCAAAGCCTACATCTTGCTTCTCACATCTCAATCAATTGTCCTGTTGGTCCCCGGTGATGCCAAGCCAATCAAACGCTTTTCAAATGTTCCCCTACACAATAAAAGCCCCCCCTCACTGCCTCCCTTTCCACCAGCGTTAGCTAGATTTCGTATAAAGCCAAATGAGTCCATATTAAGATGTTGGCTGATCATACCTCAAAGAAAATCAAATCAAAAACATCCTCAAAAGAACGATGTGCCTTTGTCTTCTCCCATGTGCATTAGCAACGGGACTCGGTTGAGGGATTTACCACACAGAGATTATTAAAATAACATTATCCCCGGAACAAACAAAAACCGCACCCAAATAAAAGATAGTACACTAAAAAGGGTGGATTACCTTTCAGTAAAATTATCAATATACATAGCAGAGGAGGATGTGGGATTTGGGGATTATCTTCGCACGCTATTCCAAAATGTAATTGAGTGGAAGTGTAATTTTGAAATGTGTTTGGAGCTGCAGTTTGAGGGAAATATAGGGTGTGCTGTCTGTGTTTAGTCCCGTCTGTCTCCACGGCCTCACTTCAACCCAGAGTGAACACCTGCCAGATTAAAGGCTTCCGCTGAGTGTTTGCAGGTGTTGTTGTGACTTTGGGAGTGATTGTTTGGGGCTCTGACCTTGGCATCGGCCCAGGTGCTTGACCTCGATGCGCTCCTGCTTCTGACAGGACGCCTCCTTCACCTGGCAGGGGTTGTCGTAGGAACGTCCATCTGAGGCACACACCTGGTTGAAACTGATGTGGGAGCAGTCGATGTTGCAAACACACCTGCGGAGCAAAGAAATCACGTCAGAGTGGTACGCTTCCTGGAGTTTTATTAAGTATCTATGTCAAAGTCAAAGACGTAATTGGGATATGTGAAATGGAACACCCACATTGACCTTTTCTAAAGCTATCCGTAGCTTTAGAAAAGAGGCCAAGACACTAAACAGAAAGTACTTAGACTATATAACACATCTAGAGTTGGAGAGAGTTGCAGTTGGTTTGAAACTGATGTGATGGTGTTCACCACAGTAGCCACAGTGACCTTCTTCAGCTGACTTTGAACATTTACAGATTTGGTTTGAACGATTTGCGAGATAATTGATCATTTTGCCTGAATCTATGGAGTGCTTTATTCAAGGGGTTTTCAAAGACATGACCAAACATTGACTTTAATCAATCACGATTGAGTTTGTGTTTGGGCCATGGCTCAGTTTAAAATTTAAAGCAAAACTTCACATTTTTTCTCTGGCATGATTTGACATAAGATGATTTCACTATTTTTCATAGTTCGTTGTTGTAACCTTTTAAATTAAATACCCCAAAAACAAAACTAGTCTAACTGCTTAATGGTCCCAAATTGTGATCAGTAACATAGGTCCTTAATAGTTAAGATATAATAAACAATGAGACGTTGCAAGGGAAAATAAAAGGTACAAACTAAAAGTAAACAAGTTGTCAGCCATTTAGTTCTTGATTCTGACAGAATTGTGTGTTTGTTTTTGTTTTCAAGAAAATGTTTGGAGCCACCAGTGACAGTGAAACAGTAGACAGAGGGGATGACACGCAAAAATGGTCCTGAGGTTGGATTTGAACCCGGGGCCTCCGCAGCGGGGAGTGGGCCTCACTGTGGGCGCCAGGTCAACCGAGTAAACTATATGGCTGCCAGACTTGTGTGTTTGTTGGACTGCGAGGCACAGAGACTGAAATTCGTTCGAGGATTAAAAATGAGACCAAAAAAACCAAAACAGTACAGCTTGCACTCAGTCAGGACGTTGGACCATGCATAGTAATCCTGTGCAAACTGGGTTTTGGCACATTCAATCTGACACAATAGCAAAATGGATTTAACTTTGCAAAAAGCGACAGGCTGCACAGAGGGCTGGATTGACAAATGATGGATTCCTACAATGGCAGGAAGCAATTAATAATGAAAGAATTGTAGATAACACAGCTCCACATTTTCTTTGTGTTGCAGAGAGAATTCTGGCCTCAAAAACAGCCACCAGTCTAAAGCTGTCATTTATTTGAGATAACATGGAAAATAGCTTAAATGGAAAATAATAACTTATGGGTTAATACTATCATAGTTCGCACTGAAACAGCTTGATGGAAAACAAAGTCAGTGAAGATTGCAGAACAGCTTGTTTCTGCTTTTACACTGTTTCGTTTTAATGTCCTTCGACAAAACCCACTCGTCTGAGAAATTCTAAAAATGATCTGGGAGAAGACGAGGACGCTTGCAGAGCTCTGGCTCTGAGGCCACAGGCATGTCTGGTGTATTATTTTGGGAGCTGAGCCTACATTACCTTCAAATGGAATGGAAATGGAAAATTCTCAGTTATTTCCACAAGCTAGTTATAATCACTGATAGCCTGTTTAAAATGCATTTGCTTCTCGCGACTTATGATTACTCTAAGTGCAAGTTGTTCGATTTAAAGTTTGGGAACAGTCTAAAAGTACAATTAAAAGTGTGCTCGTTTTTGTCTTAGCTCCTTACAACCATATACTTGTTCTCCTCTGTAAATTGAATCAGTTACCTCCCTTTCCATGAAGCGGATGTATCTGGTGTGATTTCGAGACAGACTGTAATTGTTAGGATTATGTTTTAAACAGGACCCAGGCGCAGGCAATGACTGGAGATGTTTAAAAGGTTTATTGTTCTGAGACTCAGGCGGGTTTGGAGACTATGGAGGTCCGGAGTGGAGGTAGGCAGTTCAGGCTGGACTGAGAACAGGGCAGGCAGGTATGGTGAAGGAAGAAGCAGGCAGGTTGGCTGGAAGCTCTGGTGGCCGATGGCTGAGGGATCGTACACTGGTGTAGAAAACAATCTGGCGGTGAGTTGCTGGGAGACTGGAGTAGATATGCTGTGTCTTGATTGGATTGATGAGGGACAGCTGAGCCGGTCGGCCAGGTGAGTGCAATCAGGCTGCTGCCTGCAAGGGAAACCACACCCCCTCCACACACACACAGGGGAACAAACAGGGACACACAGGGACACAGTTTGGGCCGTGACAGTACCCCCCCCTCAACGGGAGCCTCCAGGCGAACCACCAGGCTTGTCTGGGTGGTCTCTGTGAAAGTCCCGAATGAGAGAGGGACCTAGAATGAGCTTGCGGGACACCCAGCTCCTCTCCTCAGGACCATAACCCTCCCAATCGACCAGATACTGGTACCCACGGCCCCGGCGGCGAATGTCCAACAGCCGCCGGACCGTGTAGGCCGGGTGGTCATCAATAACAAGGGTGGGTGGAGGGGAGATGGCTGGAGGGCACAAAGGGCTGGAAAACACTGGTTTCAACTGGGACACATGAAAGGTAGGGTGAATTCTCATGGAGGGAGGCAGCTTGATTGATTGATTGATTGAAAAGTTTATTAACAGCTTGTATATTGGGTACAGTACAGTACAGCTCAAAACATACAATTGTTAAGGGGATGCAGACCAGAGAAAGACTTTCGTCTTGTTTACATCAGGGTCCCCCATTTCCAATTCATCATATCATTTAAGACATATAAGACATATTTGACATACAGATGGCTTATTTACAATTTACATACAGGTGGTTTTTTACATACAGATGGCTTATTTACAATTTTCATTTTAGATTTCGTTCTAATACATCCTAACTGGACATTTAAGACATACCAAGTCTACAGATATACAGTTAGTAACAGAGTCTAAAATGCGAGTATATACATAGATGGGGGGGGGGAAGCTGTCCATTGTACGACAGGTTGAGATTTGTACCATTACCGGGGCCAGTTTTGCAATGCTTTCCCCCGAAGGTGCTCTTTAAGAGAGGTTTTGAAGGTAAGTATAGTTTTACTTTCCTTTACAGTTGTGGGAAGAGCGTTCCACCTTGATGTGGCATAATTGCGAAACGTGTATTCCCCTTTTTTTGTGCCAAATCTGGGTTTTACATGATTTGTGGAGCTCCCTCTGGTGTTATGATCATGGTATTCCTTGACCTTTGGGAAGAATTTTGACATGTACATGGGTACCATAGAGGTGTAGTGGATCTTGTAGACCAGGCCCATTGCAAGTAGCTGTACTCTGTCGTCTACTCTAAGCCATCCTAGGTTGTCAAAGTGGGCAGAGGTGAGGTGGGTTCTAGATGAAAGGTCAAGCAGTAGTCTGACCAGTTTATTTTGCGATGTTTGAAGTTTTATTTTTAGCGCCTTGGAGGTGCTATGGTACCATGACGTGCAAGCATAGTCATAGTACCCTTGAATGAGTGCTCCTGCCAGAGTTTTCAGGGTGTTTTTGTTTACCAGAGAGGAGATCCGGTATAGGAATCTAGTTCTTTGATTGACTTTTTTTATTACATTGGATGCCATTTTGTCACAGGAGAGGTTTGCCTCAAGAATAGATCCTAGGTATGTAATTTCCTTCTTACTTGTGACAATAATGTCACCCACTGCAACTGAGAAGTCGTCGGATTTGCTGAGATTATGTTTCGAACCGAAGAGAATGGACTCTGTTTTACCCAGGTGTAATGATAATTTATTATCGGCGAGCCAGGTGCAGATTCTGCCGAGCTCGGAGCTGAGGGTTTTTTCAACCTGCAATCTGCTCCTGTCAGAGACCAGCAGGGCTGAGTCGTCCGCGAACAGGAACAAGTTGCAGTCACATGCTGATGACATGTCATTTGCATAAATTAGGAACAGTAACGGACCTAATATGCTTCCTTGTGGAACACCACAGCTCACTGGGAGGGGGGGGGACAGAGTACCGTTTACCTCCACCATCTGTTCTCTCCCCTCCAGGTAGGATTGCATCCAGCTCACCGATAGTTTATCAAAACCAATTGCTTTTAGCTTGTCAATCAGAATGGGGTGATTGACAGTGTCGAAAGCCTTTTGTAGGTCCAGCATCACCATGCCGCAGTATTTACCCTCGTCCACCTCTTGTTTGATGTGGTCGTTCAAATAAAGAAGGCATGTGTCAGTGGAGTGGGATGTTCTAAAGCCAGATTGAAATTCATAGATTAGTTTCTTTTCTGCGAGGTACTTTTCGACCTGTTCATATACTATTTTTTCCATGACTTTCGAGATGGAGGTAAGTATAGAAACAGGGCGGTAGTTGCCTGGGTCCAATTTGCTGCCCTTTTTGTGCAGGGGGGTTACTCTTGCAATTTTGAAGTCTTTGGGTACTTTTCCCTGTTTTATGGAGAGGTTAATTATGTGAGCTATGACTGGTGAGATGGCGGTTGCTGTGTCTCTGAGGAATTTGGAGGGGATATTGTCGTGGCCAGTGGCCTTGTTAGGTTTGAGGGCGCTCAGTTTAATGAGTACCTCTGCTGTTGTTACCCTTGCTAGACTGAAATCATCTTTGCGTACCCCTAGGTTTTTGTAGTAGGTCATGATGTGATCTACTCCAAAAAGCCCTGAGTGGGAGGGTAATTTATTTACAAGAGTTGTGGCTATGTTTGTGAAAAAAATGTTCAAGTACTTGGCCACATCCAGTTTGTCTGTGATGAGCCTGTTATCTGTCTTTATGTTTACGTTTGAAAATCTCGTTTTGAGTTTTTTACTGCAGCCAAGCTGGTTATTGAGTAATTTCCAAAGTTCACGGGGTTTATTTTTGTTTTCCTCAGTTTTGTCATTGATGAAATTCTTTTTGGCAGTTTTGATCATGGAGCTTACGTCATTTCTTAGTCTGTTTCTTTCAATTTTTAGTTCAGTCACGTGGGCCTGGAGTTCACTGCTCGTGCTTTTGGAAAGCATTGACTGACTTTTATGAAACTCAGAGCATTTTTTGTCTCTGGTTTTCATGGCGGTCAGTA